CCGGGCTAGACTCCAGCACCCACAGGTGCTCATGAGAACCAGGCTAGGCACAGAATGCGCTGGCTAGGTCTCAGCTCCCACTGAACCACATGAGGGCTGTGTCTAGATGAGGACCAGGTGGGGCTGGGCTGCAATACCCAACAGTGAGAACCAGAATGGGTGTGTGCCAGTTTGGCAAGGACACTATTCCTGCCAGAACAAGAGGTAGACAAAGGCAGCCTGGGCCGAGGACCCACTGGTGTACCTGAGATCTCCCACTGAAGGCCTGACAGAGGAGCTTGGAAACTCCTTTGTCAGGATGCAGTCCCTACAGGTGAGCACAAGAAGCAAGCCAAGGAGCCCAGACCAGGCCAGGTCACAGTACTTGCCAGCATACATGTGGTCGGGTCTAGGGGCAGAACAGGTTGGGCCACACCACCAGCCATTTCACATTAGGGCCTCGCTGGGCTGCAGCACCCACCAGCAGGAGCTGGAACTGCAGGCTATGCAGAGGCTGGACCGAGCCAGGCTATGCAATGGTCTGGTGGATACCAAGGTGAGGCAAGCCATGCCAGTATGGGAGCAGTGGGTGCCAGGTCTGTGAGCTCCAGGGGCAGGGAGGTCCAGAGGGTCCCAGGTCTCCTGGCCTAGGTCCTTGAGCCCACCTGCACAGTGGGTATCAGGTTCATAAGCCCTGGGACATGGGGTCGAGTAGGACCTGGGTCTCCTGGCCTGGGTCTTTGGGACTGCCTGGGAGAACAGGTCCTCCTCAGTGGAAAAGACCAGCAGTGGACGGCAGGCCCTGATGCACGCTGCGAATATGGCAGCCCATTGGGGCCTGCAGAGAACATCTGCTACCAAAGCAGAGGAAGGAAAACAGAACAAACTGAACAACTGTCCCAGCCAAATGGTGACAGCAGAAACCTGGGCAAACGGACACTCTGAGGTCGACTGTGTCAGCCAGTGGACACTGGAAGGTTTCCTGATCCTTGGATAGGTGAGGCCGAGAGCATTTCAGAACTATCGAAACCACCTGGGCAGAACCTTCGGCGCATGCACCACCTTGGGACCCCAGGTTGATGTCAGGTGGCCATTCCCCATCCCCATCCGGGTACTGGGAGGCTGGGCATGGCTTCTCCTCTTAACTCCCCACTTCCTCCAGAAACAGGAAGAAATATACAATTTGGAAACAATGATCACACCCACTTTTCCCTAACCCTCGATCCTTCCCACCCTGACCAACTGTGTGAGCACCATCAATAAGAAAAGTTCTAAAAATAAAGTTTAGGAATCACTGCTGTTCAGAGAGCTGGAAAATCACTTGGTGTGAAAAAAACCACATGGTGTCAGAAATGCGGCACAGAGTACAGAGAACAACTGCGTTTCCCAGAAGTTGTCTGCTAACTTGGAAAGCTAACAGCAAGGCATGGCATTCAACACCAAGCCTGAAATGGCTCGCTGCGGTGGGAGTGGGCTTCCTGGAGCTGCAGTCCCGTGACTCACCACCCCGCCCTGGAGCTTGGCCTGCCCCCACACCGAGTTACACACTGTTGCAACTGTGTTTTCAGGCACTCTAGATTCTGTGGAGCGCCAAGCAGGAACCTGCTTTTTGTACAACTGAGTAAAGAAGACACTGAAATGGAAAGAGGGGCCTGTGAAGGCAGGGGAGCTGCGGCTGTGACCACCTGCTCAAAGGACTCCCCCCATCCATGCTTCAAGCACCACCCTCTCCGGTTAACCTGTGCCTTGGACATGTCACTCCCCGGCCCTCTCACTTCAGGGCAAGCTAAGCTGCCTACAAAATCCCAACCTGGAGACCGGGGTGGGGGTTGGAGGTTGTTGGTATTGATGTCTCAACTGGCTAATCCTCCACCTTCAGGTGTCAGCATCTCACGTGTGTCCCAGTTGCCCCACCTCTCATCCAGCTCCCTGCGTGTGGCCTAGGAAAGCAGTGGAGGATGGCCCAAGTCCTTGGGACCAAGCACCCACATGGGAGATCTGGAAGAACCTACTGGCTCTTGGCTTCAGATCCCCTCAGCTCTGGCTGCTGCGGCCATCTGGGGATGAACCAGCACATGGTTTTCTGTAAATCTGCCTTTCTAACCAACCAATCAAGCAATCAACCCTTAAAAACAAAAAGCCACCTGTAACCTGGTTAAATCAGCAGGGCCCCTGTCCCCATGACCTTGTCTAACCCGGACACTCTGCCCCTTCTCCAACCTCCAGATATGACTCCCATGTCATTCTCAAGAGGCAATCTTGCTCCTCTCACTGTGAAAGAGGGCAGACCTCCAAAAGAACTTCCACATGGCCTGACTGCCAGATCTACTCACTCATAACCCCCGGGAGACAGCACTCCTGCTACCCGAGCCTAGCTGGCTCAGCTGTCCACCAGGGCCTGTCCCCACAGCCCGTCCCAGGGAGTGTCTCCTCCTTCCGGGCATCCCTGCTTCCCTCCCACAGGAGTCCAAGGCCGACATCTCTCCTTCTTATAAGACCCTTCCGCTACTGCCCAGCTGTCCTCCTCAAAGCAGCCTACCTGGAGTTCCCAACGCCTTTCCTTCCAACTTCTGCTCCACCACAGTCTCTCTCGCTGTCTCCACTCTACCAAAAGCACTTGTTGAGATGTCCAGTGGTGCCCGGTGCGATAGCATAGTGGTTAAAGTCCTCCCCTCACACACGCTGGGATCCCATATGGGTGCCGGTTCTAATACCAGCGGCCCTGCTTCCCATCCAGCTCCCTGCTTGTGGCCTCGGAAAGCACTCCAGGAAGGCCCAAAGCCTTGGGACCCTGCACCTGTGTGGGAGACCCAGAAGAGCTCCTGGCTCCTGGCTCCGGATTGGCTCAGCTCCAGCCATTGCGGCTGCTTGGGAAGTGAACCATCGGACGGAAGATCCTGCTCTCTGTCTCGCCTCTGTATATCCGCCTTTCCAATAAAAATATTAAAAAAAAAAAAAAGAGATGTCCAGTGACTGATTCCAGAAGAAACCTTTTAAACCCTCTGCTTCTCCTCTCTCCCTAACTTTTAAAATATAAAAATAAAGAAATAGTTCCATGCCATCCAGGCCACTGGACCCAAAGCTACTGTTGGGGCCCACAAAGTAGGATGGACCGATGGACAGATAAACAGCTCCAGGCCATCTGGGCCACTGGACCCCAAGAGACCATTGCCTGGAGAGGGGGGTTGGGGATGTGTGACAGTGGGGCAGCCAAAAGAGTGTCTGACAGGTGGGAAATGACTTCTGGGGGACCCCAAGGATTGGGCCACTGCACTTATACGTGAAAAATAAGTTTAGGGGGCTTCCATGTTCCAGGACACTATACTTGCAGGTAAATGAGGAAGCTGATGGCTGGTTCAGAAGGAAAATCGGAAAGCATGTGTGAGTCAGACCAAGGCATGCACCCATGTGAGAGAGTCAGGCTGGCCTAATGAGCAAAACCCACCACCCTCCAGCAGACAGGAAAGCTAGCTCTGTTGTGCCTGGCCGCACCATGCAGCAGCGAGTCTCAGAACATGGACTGGACATGCGAGCATGGGCCATGGCAGCAACCAGCTTGAGGGAACTCGGACTGGCGGCAGATTCTGTAGGACACTTGTGGGATTTCCCCCGTGGGACTCTAATACATGCCAGTTGCATGAGAGTGGTGATGGGTAGTCAGGCGTGACCTCACCAACACTCAGGAGAGCCAGCGTTGAGAACAGGCTGTGCTGGGCCAGGACACAGCAGCCACCAGCACAGAGGCCAGGACTCGGGGCAGACCATGCCAAGGAGTGACCCAACACCTGTGACATCCCTGAGAGCTGAGGCTGGGAGTGGACCTTGTAGGGGAACTTGGGGACATCCTGACTAGGCCACAGTTCCCATTGATGAGCCTAACAGCTGGGACTGGGCACACTGAGTTAAGCTACAGCACTAGTCAGCATGTGCAGGGACTGGTCTAGGAGAGAGCTGGGCTGGGCCAGGCTGTATCTCCAGCTGGGTCACATGGAGGTGCAGCAGGCTAGGCAGCCATAGCCAGCGGTTCCCAGGAGTCAGCGCTGGGGCCAGGCTGGAGCATCCCCTGGCAAGCACTGGGGCTGGGCCATGCATGCTGGGTTAAAGCACCCACAGGCAAGCGGAATGTTTCTTGTGTGACCTGATAAAGAGTGGGAAGACATTTGTGTAAAATCTTGAGTTCACACACTGTTAGTGCCAGAGACCTAGGTAAACTTTGCAGGCTACAGTCCACAAGTGGGCAAAAAAGTCTGAAACCAAGGTCAAGGCCTATGGACAAGTGTCCACCACTGGGTAATAGTTCAAGGCCACAGACTGCGTGCTTTGGGACACCCTTGAGACACGCATGAACCGACCGGTTCACGCAGGCCACACTGCTGCTCCCCGGTCATCAAGCACTGGCTGGTTAACACTGAAATGAGATGTAACTGTCAAAGTTTGTGCCACATTAACACTGGTCACTGACTCCCCAGCGAGTCTCCTAGGTCGACTCTCCTCAAAGAAGCGGGCCTTCCCCTCCGGCTGCCGCTTTTGTAATCTTTAGATTGTATCTGCCTCATTTCTTATTTTCTCAACTGCACGGTCTCCTCTCCGACTCTGTCCGTGCCACGCACAGGATTAAGATATGGAGATCACCAAGTAAGGACACAAGGAAGCCCTGTGGGCAAGGAGAGTCCCCAGGAGAAACAGCACTGCCAGGCGCCTGATCCCGCACTGCCAGGCCCCGGACCCCGCACTGCCAGGCGCCGGACCCTGCGCTGCCAAGCACCTGATCCCGCACTGCCAGGCACCTGATCCTGAACTGCAAGCCTGCAGAGCAGAGGAAAGATGCTATTTTAAGCTCTCCATCTGGGGCTTGTGGAATCCAATGGCTGATCCCTAATGCAAGCTGCTCTCAGGTCCTTCCCAGCATGTGAGACACACCCCTGCCTCAGGGCCCCTAGGTTTATTTCTCCCCCTTGGCAGAGGCAGCTGTAGAAACTGAAGTTTAAAGATGTTAAACTAAATGACTTGGCAACACTTACTTTTCGACCCACAGAACAGACACAAGCTTCACCCCTCTCTTCAGGGCTTTGTCCCACGTGCTCTGATAGCCATCTTTGAAAACAACGTGCGTTACTTCTTTGTTAAAAGTTTTGGAAACCTATAAATAAAATGCAGAAAACAAGATGCACATTATTATTATTTATACATCTAAGTACAATTAATCAACAAGGCTACTTCACTCATTATTTTTCTCAGAATGTTAGAGAAGCAGGCTGCTGAAGGCCACGTCTCCAGGCTGGGATCGCGGCACAGTGGGGCGAGCTGCCCCGCAACAGAGCACTGCATCCGCCCGTGGCCCAGCTGCTTGCTGACGTGCTTGGGAGGTCGCCCACGCTCCCAGCGCCTGGGCCCCGGTGTCGGTGCGGGAGCTCGGGATGGAGTCCCAAGCTTCTGGCTTCACCCATAAGTAAGTAAATCAGAAAAGAAAAGTACCTGAATCAGAACTGCGTCTCACAGAACTTAATCTCCACACAACTGTCCAAACCTCTAGAGCGCTCAGACAAGAGTGGGAAAGTTACTAAGCTACATTCACATCCTACGAGAATAAAAGACCCCGGCCAAGTTCAGGTGCCACATTTTTAAATGTGCAGAGTGATAAATGAACTACGTAAGTACATTTCACAGAGCTGTGCAACAAACAAAAACAATAAAGGAATACTCGGAGTGAGTAAAGGTTTGCAGAGGGGAGTCAAAGAAACACGCGGCTGCGGCTGCCCTAGACCAAGCAGCACCAAGTGCAGAGCGGACCGCCATTTTCGCCTCGATTTCGATATGACCTTCACGGCTCTACCCATTCATTGCTTTAAACAACATCCATTGACTATAACAGGACCTGGAAGCCCACTAAGCAGCTAAAATCTACTGGTTTCAGATTGGGACCCAAATGTGACACAGAGATGGCCACTTCCCCCACTACCAGGCTGTTAGCATAGTCAGCAAACTTTTAAATACACCTCAGAATAAAGGGGGCAAAAATCAGGTTTAAGCCTCAGAAAGGAGAAGTGTTACAGATGAACTATTATCCTGATCCCACACAGATCAGCAGGCAATTTTATATCATCTCAAACCACAAAAAAGAATTAAAGTAATCCTGGATTGCGAGGACCACAAGCATTCTATAAATGTGAGTATCTTGAAATAAGACAGTTGGGGGCATGTGGTGGTTTAATGATTCAAGCCGCCACCGTGCCGATGGCACCCACATGGGCACAGTTAGCAATCCTGCCTGCTTCCCTCGCACAGCTCCGTTACACAGATGATTCAACATGCATAATATGCAAGTTAAAAAAAAAAAGTCAGAAAGCCAGACATCCAAGCAAACAACACAAGGGCAGAAAGCACTGAACTGAAGAAAAGCAGAGGCAGTTACAGCTACTGCCACCCGCCAGACTTCTGGAGAAAGGCAGCTTAAGTTCTGGTTGTGGAAACCTGTGACCTAAAATGCATCCTTACAAACGCAGGAGCCGTGCCGGCGCTGCGGCGTAACTGACAAACGCAGAAGTCTGGCAGCCAGTGCAGGCATTTCAGGCAGCTGGAGGATAAGAGCCGGCTGACACCTGAGAGACAGTTCACCAATACCGAAGGTCAGAACTAACAAAACGGCAAGTCGTATGAAAAGGGGGGGCTCTGGGCCCGGCGCGGTGGCGCAAGTGGTTAAGGTCCTCACCTTGCACGCCCGGGATCCCATATGGGTGCCGGTTCTAATCCCGGCAGCCCCGCTTCCCTTCCAGCTCCCTGCCTGTGGCCTGGGAAAGCAGTAGAGGACGGCCCAAAGCTTTGGGACCCTGCACCCGCGTGGGAGACCCGGAAGAGGCTCCTGGCTTCGGACCGGCATAGTATCGGTCCATTGCGCTCACTTGGGGAGTGAATCATCGGACGGAAGATCTTCCTCTCTGTCTCTCCTCTCTGTATATCCGCCTTTCCAATAAAAACATAATAAAAATAAATCTTTAAAAAAAAAAAAAAAAAGAAAAGGGGGGGCTCCCAACAGCAAGAGCTGCGTCCCTGCAGAGACTTCAATAAAATCACCAAAACCCAGGTATGTTTATACACACCCAAATACACATTCAAATACACAATCAAGAAAACAGAAAAGGCACAAATAACCATCACCAGGAATGGAAAGCTGTCACTACAGACCCTAAAGACATCCAAAGATCTACACAGGATATCAAGACACCTGAGACAAAGCCGAGCAAAATTTACATTGTTTAAAATGAGTGCTTTTTTGAAAACAGCTCAATTTTCAAAAAATACTCATAAAAGATGCTGCACTCCACATTATTAAATGAATTACAACTGCAATAAAGATTTTAAGACCAAGGTAAATCCTGCTATAGCTAGAGAACCAACGTCACAGAAACTCAGAAAATGAACAATGTTTCTAAATTCCATCTTTGGAGCTCTCCCCTCCTGATGTCCCGGCACTGCTGGAAAGCTCTGCTCTGCCCTGCACTGCCCTGTACCACCCTGCTCTGCCCTGCACCGCCCTGCACTGCCCTGCCTCCCGCAGCACTCTTTCCTCTGACCCTCCCAGGAGGGCTCCCCACACCTGTAGCCACACCTACCCTAGCAGCCTCGTGCAGGTGTTACGAGACCCCAGCGTCCCTTCCTTAGCTTAAGGGAGCGGCACAGCCGGCCCTATCTCAACACTTGCCTCTATTCCAAGACCCCTTGCAAGAACCCACAGGAAGGATTCCTTTACCCCTACAGGTAAGGTCCTGTCACAATCAAGTAACACCCAATCTGCTTTCAGACTCACGTAGTTGCAGTCCACCTTTGTCATTCTGAAGAAAAAGCACTGACCCCCACCTATATCTGACAAAGGAAGCCCATGTACGCGATGGCAAATCAGAGGCCCACCCGAGACGGTCATCCACTGCTCGTCCCCAGATTCGGGCCTGTCTTGGGACGGGGACTTGGCAACAGCTGTCTGACCGCTTGTTCGGAGCATGACCCACGTCAGCGGTTACCTTACTACACGGCAGGCTTGAGCACGCAGCACTGGGGGCTCCACACCAACACCTTCCTGCAGCTCTGGGGGCTGTGCCACAGCACAGCTGGGGCCTCACCCACTCCTTGGTAAGCGACTAGGCTGGACAGCCTTGGCCACCTCAAGTTCCAGACTCATGGATCCAACACCTTCCAGATATTTCCACTGAGTCCCACTTTACAAGATGTCCTTTGATATCTGTTTCTTTTCTTGGGCTTTCAATAACAGCATCAGTGTCAGAATCCAGTCTGCACCTCAAATTCCAGCCCCTCACTCATATTCTCCAAATCCCAGGAGTCTAACTTCTGCACGTTTGTTTTTCCACCACCGACCCACTGCTTCGCCCTTCCTGTCTGAAAGTACTTGGAAAGTAAGATGGAAACAGGACAACAGCGTGTCAATGGCAGCACCTCTTACCTTCGCTCCCATATCTGCAAGCTGGTTTGTAAAAGTCTTCGAGTAATTTTCAGTTCTCTTGGAGGACCACACTTCAACATAGGCCACCACATCTGAAAGCAAAATAGCAGCAGGAAACTCACATTTGTACTTCCGGTATCTCCTGTCCAAGGGCTTTTTCTTGCATTTTACGTACATTGAAAAGCCAATCTCAGGGCCCAGCACTACAGTACAAGAAGTTAAGACACTATTTGTAGCACCAGCATCCCATGTGGTAGCAGGTTCAAGTCCTGGAAGCTCCACTTCCCATCCAGCTCCCTGGGAGTGACCCGGGAAAGCAGTGGACAAGACACCAAGAGCTGGGCCCCAGCGCAAAGGTGGGAGGCCCAGGCGACACTCCTGGCTTCAGCCGGCCACCGTCGCCGTGCGGGGAGCGCACCAGCAGAGGACAGAGTTTCTTCCTGTCTCTATAACTCTTTCAAATAAATATTTTTAAAAGCCAATTTAAACTCTTCTATTAAGGACCTATTCAAAACAGCATCAGCGCAATTTATGATTCTTAAAATACTAAGCAAGCAACATTGTTCGGACCATGTCACAACTTACCTTCCTAACACTTCATGCTCTTTCAGGTTCCTGGTCAGCAGGGTCGCAGCCTGCAGAGCAGAGGCCTGTCTGCCACAAAGGGCCAGACAGCGAACACTGTGGCTTTCCAAGTCACACAGCAGCCTCACCACCACTAGGTGCTTCTAAAGTATTTACTTTGCATTTGAAAAACAGATTTACAGCGCGAAGAGACAGATCTTTCATCAAGTTTGCTCCCCAAATGGTCACAACAGCTGGAGCTGAGCCAGTCAGAAGCCAAGAGCCTGGCGCCTCCTCCGGGTCTCACACACGGGTCTCCTTCACTGCGCTCACACGCAGGTTAGCAAGCCGCAAAGGCTTTCCGCCCCGGAGGGCCCGGGCACAACCAGGCAGGAGGCGGCAGAGCCGCTCACACAACTCACAAACAGGGATATCTGAGTGACAGCGCTACTGCCTCCCTCCGCAGTCACTCGCACGGGTGCAGCAGTTAGCTGGAAGGCCCAGGGAGACGCTGGACGTGCTCGAGGTGGCAGAAGCAGTGTGGGCACCAAACCGAGGGCTGTCATCTCATTGAAACCAAAGAACCGCGTTTTAAAGGATTTCCAGGTGTGAGTGACACAGACAAGGCGCAGCTGGGAAGGGGGTCCGGTCTGGGCTGTTCCTCCCAGCTGTCTCCGTCCCCGGCCCCGCACCCGGCTCCGCCCGCCGCCCCAGCCGGCAGACGCGGGGCCCGAGCGCCCGCAGGGCGGCGTGTCCCGAAGCCCGCAGCTGCCCGCGCCCCTGAGTCGCACGGGCACCCAGGAGCGGGCGCTGCGGGGAAGCCGAGGACCCGGGGCCCGCGGCCGGCAGGAGGTGCGGCCCTCGGCGTTCCGGGTGCCCGAGCCCGGGCCCGGCGGGACCCACGGCTCCGCCGGCAGCTCCAGCCTGCAGACGGGCGGGGGTGCTGCCAGCGCGTCCCGGGCGCCCGCCACCGCGGCTGTCCCCGGCTGTCCCTCCGGGCGCGGCCGAGTCGCCTCACCTTTCAGGACGGAAGCCGCGGCGCCGCCGGGGGCCGCCATGACGCGCGCGCCGCCGGACCGCGTCCCGCCGCACCAGACGGGGCGGGCGTCGACGGGGCATGCGCACAGCGCGCGCGCCGCCCCTTCCGCGCGCACTTCCCGGGCGGCGCCGAGTGGGCCGCCTCAGGGCTGGGGCGAGGTCACCGGGCGTCGCCACCGGGTGAGCGGGCTCCCGCGCCTCGGGGCTGGCGGTCACCCGGCGTCCTCACGGGGTGGGGGTGCGGCCGCTCCCGCCTCAGGGCTGGCCCTCCGCCCCGGCCAGTCACTGGGCCACAGGCGACATGGCGCCCCGAGGGCCACAGGCGACGCCGCCCCCCCAGGGCCGCACGGGTGGCCCACGCGCCCCTTCTGTTCCCAGAAATGCCCCCATGGTGTAGAAATAAAAGGCCGGGAATCTGTTGCAGACAGAAAGTTTATTTGCAAAGGGACCAGGGAGCAGGGAAGGGAGGGAAGGAGAAAGCCGGGAGGTGGGGTGCCTCTCCAAAGGGGAGGGAGAGAGACACCAAAGGTTTGAGGTCTTGGGATTTTAAGCCTTCCCTGACCCCTCCTTGTTGGGCGGGAGCCTACAGGTGAGATGTGCCCCATTGGTGGTCTCTTAATCAGTTAGGAAATGGGGGGCAGTGCTGGTGCCGCCCACCTGAAGGTGTGGCCCAGACCTCAGCAGGCCTGGAGGGCTCGATTTGGTCCTTTGAGTAACTCCCCTGAGATGGTATATAAAGACACCATCTCATAGTATTGGGTAAACAATATGTTAAAAATAATGCAAGTTCCATTCTTCGAAACATCTGGGTTGAGACAGTATCAATGACAGGTTCAAAAAATAACCAACAACCAAACAAAAATTGCAAGTTAAATCAAGGCAAACATGTGGTATCTAATCTTTTGGGATTCGCTCATTTCCCTTAGCATTATAGTTTCCAGTTGGGCCCATTTAGCCACAAAGAACTGCATTTTGTTTTTTTTAATAGCTGAGTAGTATTCCATGGAATAGATGAACCAAAGCTTTCTTATTGTTTACCCAATACTATGTCAATTCCATAATGTTGTATATTGATACTGAGGTTTTGTTGGGGCTTTTAACTGACCGGAACTTTACTCTGTTAGCTCTACCTTCAGACCAGAGAAGGTCTCCCCAAGAGGCCACTGAACTTATCTGGACAATAACACGCTGGACTTTATGCTAGGTATATGCTTGCAAGGAAGGAATCTCAACTGAACTTGAACGGTGGTTATGCAGCAAGGTGGAGGAATCCACCATGGGGGGAGGGGTATGGGAGGGGTGGGGGGAATCCTCAGTGCCTATAAAACTGTATCACATAATACAATGTTAATAACAATAAAAAAAAAAGACACCATCTCCATCATTAACGCGGGTTTTTCTTTCCTTCCTCCTGCCACTATGGCGGGAGATCTGGGGCTTTTCCTTGGACCCATGGTGCCCCCTCCTGCCACCATGGCCGGAGCCCTTTTTTAGTAAATAAACCCTGCTTTGCAAGCTGGAATTGTCCGCATGAAATTTCTTCCGTGAGGCAAGAACCGAGGTTGCTGCCATGTTTTGTGTGGAAACATCGTGCAACAGCTGCACGGACAGGGCTAGAGCTGCCACAGCCCTCAGCTGCTTTTCCTGTTCCCAAGCTGCTGTGTTCATCCTGCAGAATCAGCTCTAGCGCTGAGTTTATCGTGTCTCCAAAGGTGCCACTGGCCAAACACAAAACCACAACTACTTGCTTATTTTTGTAAGTCATGAGTGGGAACAACCTGCATTATACAAAACTGGATGAAACAAGCAGTGGATTTGTTTGAAGGAGGGAACAGAGAAACAGGAGCAGGGAAAGCTGGTTAACATCCGTTTACCTTTTATTCACTCATTTTTAATATCTGTCTGAAACAGTTCCAGAGAGACCTGAAGAGATGAAGAGGTCTTCCATCTGCTGGTTCACGTCCCCGATGGCCTTGCCACCATCGCTGGGCCAGGCTGCAGTAGGGAGCCCAGAGCGTCCTCCGTGTCTGCTGCGTGAGTGGTAGAAACCCAAGCGTGTGGGCCGGCGGGCACTGCTTTGCCCAGGCCGTAAGCAGAGCTGGCTCTGAAGCCAGGACAGGAGTCCGTGCCCACGAGGGAGTGGAGGTAACAGACCGCTGCCTTACCAGCTATGCCACACACTGACCACCTACCTTTTATTTTTACAAATAGCAAATCGGAAGGGACTGGCTGCTGTTTTTAGAACAACAGGTTGTCTTTAGGAGCCTCTGCTTTGTTACAGTTGCAGTTCTACTTTGTTACAAGATGGCCTTTCCCCTAACTTCGGTTTGGCCAATCAGAGGCAAGAGCAGCCCCCACCCCCGGCCTTGGGCAGTCTCTCCCACCAGGCTGACCGAATGACCTGAACTTGAGAGATTATCATTGTTCTCACTTGGTTTCAGTGCAGATGTGTGGTCCCAACATGGGGCTCTGGAGAGATTCCAGTTCTTGAAGGAGTCCCTGAAGGTCTAAACTCCTCAGTAAAATCAGGCCAGCTAGCAAGGAAGGGGCGAGGGGTGGAGGGCAGGCACTGGATCAGTGTGCTTGGCGGCCCACTCAGCTTTCCGCTAATCCCCAGCCTGGGAAGCAGGAGATGCAGGGTTAAGTCCTATCACCAGTGTCGGAGGCTTCCAGCATGGCTGACAGCAACAACACTTCTAATGGTTTAAACTGTGGGCAGAAGGTAAGCCACCTGTAGCACCTGTAAGCCACTCGTAAAGGGTGCAGATGCAAAAGCATCAAGCAAGGACAGAGCTTACACGTGGACAGCACTGCTGAGGACAGTCAGCTGGAGGAGAAGCAACTCAGGCCAAAGGTGTCCCAGCCAGTGGCACTGGCTGCTTCTAGACAAAGACCTGACCCTCTGTGCACCCCCGCACCCCAATAACAGGAAACCACAGGGAGGAAGAAACACGGCTTTCTAAAGCCAGACTCCAGGGGGACACACACTGAGAGGGGGGGACGATTTCATGTTGTTTGGTTAGTGAGGGAGTCTAGAGACCACATCCTCTCTACGCACGCCGTGGGTCTCCAGAGCACCACGCAAGAGCAACACCAGGGGTCATCACTGTGTTGGTGCAGTGAATGAAGCCACTGTCCGAAACGCTAGCTTCCCAGCTGGGCGCTTGTTCAAGTCCTGGCTACTCCATTTCAAACCCGGCTCCCTGCTAATGACAAAGGAGATGTGCCCATGCCAGCCTAAGTCCTTGGGTCTCTGTACCCACATGAGAAACCAGGAATTAACTCCTGAGTCCTGGCTTCGGTCCAGCACAGCCCTGGATGTGACAACCGTTTGGTGAATGAATGAGTGGACTTGATCAATTTTTTCTTTATGTCTCTCCTCTCTGTAACTCTACCTTTAAAAATATTCTTACAGAGTAGTACCAAACACATAACAAGTCACGACATCCGAGGCACTGTTGTAGGGCATTTGATGAGAAAGCACGGCGGCAACCTTGTTTCTCGCCTCATACCAAAGAAGAATTTTCATGTGGACAATTGCAGCTTGCAAAGCAGGATTTGTTTAGGAACTTGAGCTATTTTATTTTGATATGCCATGATGCCACAAATTTGACTGAGATTTTAAGGTGAAACAGGATACTTTCATGTTTCCAAAATGTCCCCCAAGATATGTGTGAATTATAAAGGCAAAAACCACTTTACAGTGGAGCACTGGGTTTTTTCTTTGTAGATTTATTTATTTTTATGGGAAGGGTAGAGCCATAGAGAGGAGAGACAAAGGGAAAGCTATTTCATTCACTGGTTCGTTCCCCAAACAGCTACAACAACAAGGCTTGGTTGAGTTTAATGAATCCAAAGCCAGGAACCTCTTCCAGGTCTCCGATGTAGGTGCAGGGGCCCAGGGAGTCGGGCCACAAGCAGGGAGCTGGGCTGGAAGCAGAGCAAACAGACATTGACTCATGTCCACATGGAGTGCTGGCAACCTAATGTGGAGGACTAGCCTGCTGAGCCGTAACTCCTGCTGGGGTACCAGCTCTAAAAAAGTGATGACAAGTAGCCAGTGAGGGGACAAAGGCCTCTTGATGTTGAGACTGTCCAAGCCCAAGATATTGACCACATCTTCAATGAGTGACACGAGAATTGCCCAGCTATTTGCTAACTGTTGAGCTGCCACCAATGGGGAATGTCTTCC